GTGCAAGTGTAAGAACTGATGCTGTTTTGAAGGCAAAGAGTGGTCACACCAAATATTGATTTGATTTGGGTTTTTCTCCTGTTCGCTCACTTTGCATTTGTAAATTGATAAACATAAACAATTACAATATATATTTTTGAAAGCATTCTTACTTTACAGCATTTTTTCACACCTTTTTCTCCTGTTCGCTCACTTTGCATTTGTAAATTGATAAACATAAACAATTACAATATATATTTTTGAAAGCATTCTTACTTTACAGCATTTTTTCACACCTGCCTAAAACTTTTGCACAGTACTGTATATGAACAACTTCATGATGGTCCACAGATTTCAAATAGATGCCCTTTATAACAGCAGGATGACTTCTACTCTATTGTTTTTTGGGAAGTTACCTGCATTCCTTATAGCAGAGTTAACTGAGATTTTGGATGCTGGTAGGCGCAAGGCCTTCCTCTTTGCCCCATAAATATTTTCCAAATTAAAAATTTCTCTCTTAATATCTGTTCTGCTATTCCAGAATTAAACTTCCTGTGAACAGAATGTCCAAGTTATTTTCACATCAGGTGTCAAATGATGTCTGGACACTTGCATTAGAAAAGTGCGATTCATGAAAGAGCTATGGGATTTAGTAGCACAGGTAGCTTATTTCAAAGACCACGTAATATAGGGATCAGGACCAGCCCAGGAACCCATTGGTGGTGGTTTGGTGGATAGGCGTATTTCTTGCTTGTTGCAAAAATCTACCAAGAGATCACAAGCAAAACATTTAAAGCAAAATACAGGCAGCGTATACAGTCCATCATATTTCCAACTATATTCAGAGTCACTTTGGATCTAGATCCTCAGGCCTGTTCGCATCCCCGAAAATTACTAACTTCTCTGCCACTTCTTTGGGTTTTTACCCAGGGTCAGAGACCATGGGTACGTTAACTTTTCCTTGATCTCCATAACTGTTGCAAACTCCCCTCAGACTTTCTCTAATCAGACCAAACACTCCAACAATCCTTGCCTTAGTATTAACACTGCGTCTCTAAAGGCTATTTCCTCTGGGGCTGTACCCTAAGGCGGCCTTCTGGGTAGAGGAGAATCTTGAGGCCAAGGGTATAAATACCAGTTTCCATCCAAATTTCCATATAAGGATTTTAAAAATTAATTTTGAGACCTGGATTACCTCATGGCGTTAACTTAGCATGAGAAAATATTAAAAATGCTATTTCCTAGAAATAATGTACCACAATCTTTAAGTTGATGTAATAATGAGAGGAACTATTTGAAATCTACACTATTTTTATCCTAAGGGAGTCCAGACTAAAAGTTGTCATGTTTGAATATTCTCGACCAGGGGTTTTCCAAACCTTTCAGGCTATGGAACCATTGTTTTTAAAAAGTGCTAGCGATAGAAAATTAGCTTTGTTTTAGCCCTTCATTTCTCACAGAACCCACCAAGTTCTCCATAGAACGCAGTTTGGGGAAAAAATTGTTCTAGAGGACCCCAAGGAGAATTTCCATTATAGGAAGTCATCCAAAATGTGGTAGTAACCAATAGATGTTCAAAATGATACAATTCAAGATTTGGAAAACCAAATCCCCCCCATCTTTTTAATAGACAGCTCAATTTTTGTCTTCAGAATTGAAGATCTCCCCGAATTGAAGATCCTCACAACTGTATGAAACATGGTATTACATTTTTGAAAATATGTTGCAGATATATGTATCACAATTCCACACAAAATCTTTAATGTTTTAGGAAATATGTTCATTTTTAATATATAATTTTTTTGAAAATTTTAATTATAGAGATAAAAACTAATACAAACAACTCAGAGAAAAGAAAGTAAACAGTAAAAAGTGCAAATAAAAAGTAAAAGAAAGGAAAGAAAAATGAAAAAGTGAAATAAAGCAAAAGAAAAGAAATATATAAAGAAGTGACTTCCAATCTTCATCACAAGAAGTATAAACAAGTTTGGTAACTCTTCACCCCCTATAAAATTATAAACAGATATCTCTTCTTCCCATAACCCATCCTTTCTCTACAAGCAAATCCAGAAGACATCAACTTTTCAATTCTGGGGTCAGTAAAAAGTCTGTAAAGGGTTGCCAGAATTTCATAAAAACATGTCTTATTTTAACCTTGATCAAATAAACCAACTTTATATTCCTTTTACCTCTGAAAATCTTACTCTTTAGTTCATTCAAATATTGTACGATTTGATCTCTCTTCAATTCTTCTTTTTATAACCCATCCTTTCTCTACAAGCAAATCCAGAAGACATCAACTTTTCAATTCTGGGGTCAGTAAAAAGTCTGTAAAGGGTTGCCAGAATTTCATAAAAACATGTCTTATTTTAACCTTGATCAAATAAACCAACTTTATATTCCTTTTACCTCTGAAAATCTTACTCTTTAGTTCATTCAAATATTGTACGATTTGATCTCTCTTCAATTCTTCTTTTTCCCATTGCATAGGCTTCTTCAAGGCTTTAACAAGCCTCTTTTGTGAATCCAGTAAAAAGACATTATCCAGGTCATGGAAATGCGTTCATTTTAAGAGTGTTAATTTTGGCCTGAAAGGATGGCATTTAAAGACAGCTATCTGTCAGGATCTAAAGAGATCTTACCTGTTTTGTTCATATTTAAAGTGATTATCTGCAAAATATTCTGTTGGAAAAGAACTCCAAGATAGTTAACAAAAATTAAATATATACAGTTTCAGATACAAAATTGATAATTGCTTAATGATGCAGTGAAACAGTTTTTACCTATCGGCCTCAGTTCCAACTTGGTTCAATTATTTGAATATCCTACTGTTTTTCCAAACAAATTTATCAGTCCATCAAAGCTGGAATTGAGTCATGAAGTGCAGACCTAATTGAATGAATAATACATTAGTATTATTTAGTAGTAGTAGTATTTAGTAGTAGAATAATAGTATTCTAAAGAACTATGTAAACCATGAATGTTATAATCTTGTCTAATGGCAGGGGTGTAAGGGGAACGTGGGCTTCTATGCCTACTGCCTTTACACAGTAGAAAAGTGGTTTAAAAATATTGTTAACTTTCACTTCGAATGTAGGAGGTGAATATACAAACTGGACCAATTTTCAGGAAATTCAAACATAAAAACCTTAAGTTTTAGGAATAAAGGGATCAGAATTTTTTTGTACCATTCCACAGGAAGTCCATAAGACATGGTGCCTTACCATTCCTCAGCATTAGGGTCACTTTTTTTTTAGTTTACCGGCAGCCAGAGCGGGCGCTAATTCTTGCTGTACAAAGTCTAATTGTGGGAGAGGAGCGAGGGTTTCTGTGGATCTTGACGCCAGGCTTCAGTGAGCGCAGCCTAGAGTGCGCTTGCTTTTCTGTAGCTGTCTTGCGCCCTGGCTTTGAGGATCTGAGCTCCAAAGGCACCGCGGCCCTTTTCACACGAAGCGCTGCCTGGTAGGCCCGCCACCATCCCCCGTGCACGGCTTCGACTTTTCCCGCCAGATGAAGGGCTTTGCACCACATTCTCTTTGAAATGCTCCCAGGCTCACTGCGTAATACTGTCACCCAGATGTCAGGCTGACAGGCCTGCAATTACCCAAGTGCTCTTTTCCCTCTCTTTATTATAGGAGTGATGTTTGCCCTTCTCCGATCACGCAGTTCTCGGGTACTATGCCAATCTGCCCTGATTTTGCTAAAGATCAAAGGAAGGGGCCTAAGGAAGTGGGCATCCACACCCCCTTGAGATCTGGGATGCAACTGGTCTGGACTCAGGTGCCTTCCTGGAGGCCACGCTTCTGGCCCTTGGGCTGCCGCCCCCTCCTCTTGGCAGCTGTTCGCTTACGTCCCTTTGCACACCCTCCCGCTGGCGAGAAGACGGAAGCAGCTGAAGAGCTCTGCTGCCATGCGCTGCCAGTGTCCCACCCTCTTCTCCTAGCAGGGAGCCCCTGCTGCCTCCTTTGGCTACCGACTCAGCAAAACAGAACAAGCCCTTGTTCCCACTTTCTTTGCAAACCAAAGTTCCTTTTGCCTTTTAGCCTCTCTGACTAAAGGTGAAGAAAAGGTGCTAAAACCTTGGTCTCCTGCCCTGTGTCTTTCAGGCCTTTCATAAACGTCGTCTTTGAGAGACAGGAGAATAACACCACTCTAGCAAAGGTGTCTGAGGCCTTATCACCTGCGTAAGCCACGTCGTACCCCCTGCCCCGCCAGAGATGGCTGCGTATGCATTTGGTGCTGATTCTTTCCATGACAGATTTGTAGGAAAGCAACATGGACTAACCCTTCTAAGTTAGATACCTTTCTGTCTGCAGAGGCAGCCAAACAATGGGATTGCAACAGCATGCTTTCCTTTAATCATAATCTCAGCCACCATATTTTCTGTCTCCTACCATGGATATCAGCTTAGCTAGATCAGATCCTGTGTTTGGGCGCCTTCCTCTCCCCAGCGTTGATGAGATGCCTGCGTGATCTCACGGAAGTATCAAAACCACACCGTTCTGCGGGCGCTTGTGTTGCATCAGTTTGGGCAGGATGCAAGCGCGCCATCCGTCCTGGTCCTCCTGCGTTTGGGGAGGTGAGGCTGGGGCAGCTTCAGGCTCAGCCACAGGCCACACTGGGGGTCCTGCTTTTCCCGATTCCTGCTTTTTGGGGGCAATAAGGGGGATTAGCCCAGTATTTGGTGCCTGCCCAGGCAAGTCTGATGTGGTGGTGCGGGGTGTGGGGAGCAAATGAGGCGCTTTCTTTGCATTGACGTTTGCCGTTCACTCCCCAGGCCATCACCAGAAAGAATAAAAGCACGTTTTTAGCTTGCTTGTTTTCCTTTGAGAATATATTTAGGTGGAAATGGGAGCGGGAGGTGAATCGTTCCCACGTCGCCTCTTCAGACTTTCTCCCCCACATCCACACAGATTTGCTGTGGAAAACTGAATGTTGCCACTGAACGTCAGCAGTCATCCTGGGGTCCTGGAGGGCTTGAAGCGGCAAGCCTGCAGCAGCAGGCCCCTGTTGCTGTACGCGCTGGCTGAACACGAGGGCCCTTCTCCCCGCCCCATCTCCCCTGCTCCCGAGAGGCCTTAGCCGCAGTTTTGGCCTCGGCCGCCATTCTTCAAAAGCGTAAGGAGGGACAATGATGCAGGACGGCAGGTGACCAAGGTATGAGCTGGGTGGATTCTGGAGCGCTGAGCAGGGGTGCCGTGAGGAAGCTGTGAAGGAGCAGGTGCCGCGAGGCTGGACCTCCTGGGTGTCTCTGTTAGATTCACATCCGGGGCTTTTCCTTCCTGTACAGGTATTTAGCAAAGAATTCCTCGGCATTGTTCAGCGCAAGCGACTACGAGGTTGCACCTCCAGAATATCACCGGAAGGCTGTGTGAGCTGCTTGGTATAACAGTGCACAGGAGACGGCACGTTACTGGAAGAGATCCTCTGATCTCTGCAGCTGTCCCATCCAGTTCCACATTTGTCCACGGTCCCTTTCTTGCACATGTGTTTCTGCACAAATGCAGAAGTATCGGGTGAATAGTGTTTGTGTCTTCAGGTGGAGCTGCCACCGTCCACGTCCCAAGGGTTTTTCTTCAGGTCTGGAGGAAGAGAGGCTCCTGGAACGCTTCGTTGCGTCGGGTTGATGTTGGGATGTCGATGGAAACGCACTGTTGTTTCATAGCCTGAACTCCTGCATGCTTCTTGGTCCGTTTTCCTTGAAACAAAGCCTTACCTGCTGCTGATGGTTTGGTACCGTGTTGTCGTCCTTTCCCACAAACAAACTCTTGCTGCCAGTATTGGGGGGGAAGGGAGATCAAGCACAGATACGGGATGGGTGGGGGGGGTCCTTGTGTGCTTTCTTGGTGTTGGGAGGGTAAAATGTTGTGAACAACGTCTGTGTTCTTTGCATAGCTGAAGCATTGTGGGATTAGTACTGGGGAGGGTTGAATGTACCTTCTAGCATAGGAGGAATTTACCATTGGCCCCCCAGGTATGATGATACGGTGTTCTCTGGAGGAGATAGGTACAAGTCTCCAAATAAAATTTTCTACTTCAGCTATTAGAGACTTACGTCTTTTTGTGCTTTCTGCAAAGCCACTTTTAACTTTAAATGTTGAAGGGCAGCCAATTCTTGCCATAATTCCATACTAAAGAATTCAATCAGCAAGCAAAGAAGAGCAGTCTGCTGAGGAAACAGCAAGGTGATTGGGAAGAATCGGCAGATGTGGGGTGCTTGTTTGTGATTTTTATAGCCCATCCTGATCCAGAACTCTGGGTGGTGTCTTGCAAGGATAAGAATAAAATCTGGAACCCAGAGCCCGGCTGCCCCTGCTCAGCTAGGTTTTGGGAACGGGCCTGTTTTTCCACTACCAAATGGTTCTGAATGGTGGTGGGGCAGACCTGGCTGGTGTTCAGCAGCAACCCTTTAAGGCCAAGCGCTCCAATGACCCAGTGGCCAGGTCTCCAGGATGGGGCTACCAAGGCAGGAAAGGAGGTTGCCACCAAAATGGAGCTCCTTTCCCCCACCCAGTAACCCCCCTGTATCTCCTTGACCTGACAACCACGGGGTGCCACAGCTACATTCGACACGCCATAGACTAATAGTTCTGCTCACCAAACATTCTTTGTCTGACAATCTTTCTATGATTAGAGGTCCGCAATTTGGTGAATCTCCCACTTTGTCACAAACCGCGTACCATAATTCACCACATCATCTATCATCGTCCAACATCTGTGACTCAGTATGAAGATGAAGGGAATGCACTGAAACTTTCTTGCTGGTCCTCCCCCCACCTCCCAACCTGCAGTCTCACTGTGAACCAAGGTATCCTCACTGCTATACAGGTAGTCCTCGCTTAATGACCCTGATTGGGACTGGCAACTGCCACTAAGCAAAGCGGTCGCTAAGTGGAAAATTACATGACCAACTCTGCTTTCCAGCCGGAAAGAGACAGGACTACTCAGTTTCACACCTTCAGCTTTTGTTTGCCTCCTAATTGCTCCCTGCCCTTTGGAAGGCTCAAGTGCCTGGTTACTGTCTTCTACGTATCGAAAGCAATGCGGTCATGCTGCGGCCCAGGGCTGGGAGCTGCAGGCGCACTATGCAAACAGCTTATGGTACTCTCTTGAAATCTCTTCCTCTCCCCCCCCCGCGCAGAGCAGAGAGATTGGAGAGGGATTTCAAGAGAGTAAGCTCTTCTACATGTGTGGGCAGCAGGAAATGGTCAGGCAAAGGGGAAATTACCTACAGAAACTGCTTGCTTTTTTTCCCTCCCTGCCCCCTTGAACAGCAGAGAAATTGGAGAGGAAGAGATTTCAAGAGAGTACTGTAAGCTGTTTGCACAGTGCCCACAGTTCCCAGCCCTGGGCTGTGGTGTGATCACATTGCTTTCAACGTGAAGTGCAAACAGCTTACTCTTGCAATCCCTTCCTCTTCAATCTCTCTGCTCTGCAAGGGAGGAAGAAAAGAAAAGAAAAACGCAGGACAACACGTACTGACGTGAATGGCGATCGTGTGACTGAGGGACACTGCGAAGGTTTTTTTTTCAGCACTGTCATAGTGATCGCTAAGCAAGCACTACCTGTAGTATGCAAGCTCTTCAAAGAGGCATCACTGGAGGTCCACCTAGAGCCATTCCTGAATGCCTGTGACTCTACAACATAGCCACATCTCCCAGAGACTTGTGTGCCCCATGCTTCAGCTCACTGCTGGCAGACCACTTTTTAGAAGCCTCTCTAGCTGGCCCAGGTAAGAGAGGTCCATACCTTTGCTCCTGATGCACCCAGCTTCCGCCGACCCTCCAAAGACACTGGTTCCTTTCACTGTGGCTGCTTTTGTCTGTGAGGGCCTCCCCTTCCAAAGTGTTCTCAAGCCCAATTTCTTAACTCCAGTAAAGTCCACTCTTCCAGACTCCTCTCAGCTCTACTGTTCTCTGATTGTTGCAGGCCCTCCTTGGCCAAAATGGCTGATTTTACTGCCCTGCTATCCACCACGGTTGCTGCTGCCTCTCTGGCTCTAGTCAACAGCTTCTAGTAACAGTTGTTCACTGGGCTCCAGCACTCCACACTGTTCTGGCTCTACAGTCAATACTAATGCACCTGTGCTCTGCTAGTGCTCCAATGGGGCCTCTGAGAATGGTGGTCACCACGCACAACCCCTCTGCTATTGCTGCTGCTGCTTTGGTCTCAGTCAGCTGCTTTCCAGCAACGGCAACCACTACACCTTGCCACCCCAGCCATGCCATCACCACTATTGCCATTGCTCCACTCTTCATTTCTCTTATTCCTTGGTTTTCTCAACTCCAGCGCAGTCTCTCTCAAGCTGTTGTCCTCCCAACTAAGCAACTTTCTCCAGTGGCTCAGTAGGTGGTCTTCCAGGCCAAGTGCTTTCTACCTTCCTCAACCTCACAACCATGAAAGCTCCATCATTCACCACAAAACTTACATTACTTAAGCTATATTCCCTCTTCCAAACCCCCAACCTCACATATGTTACGTGTTTACCCTCTCTGATGCCATCTTAGAAGTACCTGTTTTACTCTGTATCCTTCCCTTATTATCATCATCTGCAAAGCCAGTGCTGCTCCAATTGAGAACTTGGATCTCCAGCAGCAGCAGCAGCAGCAGCAGCAGCAGCAGCAGCAGCACTACTACTTTATGGGTTTCTATGACATTCCTGGCTTAGCCTGGGATGGCACTGTACAACTAAGTGATGTTAGTCTACTGATGACTACTCCAAATCAATGAATGACCTCACCTACTGTCTTCATACAGATGTTAAATAACATTGGAGAAAGCATAGAATCCTGTGGTATCCACGTTGGAGTAACCAAGGATTTGAGTTCTTCCCCTCCTCCCTGACTACAGACTGGAACTATCCATGCCAGTTGGAGTGGAATCACTTGAGTACAGGGCCCCCAGTTCCTGACCCTTATAGATCATCCAGCAGGATACCATACAGTAGTTGATAGTATCAAAAGCTGCCACTAGATCTAATAGGACCAAGAGGGACTGTATGCCCTCTATCAAGGTTCTGGCAAAAACTATCAATCATTTCTATCCTTTCACTGGCCCTGAATCCTGATTGGAAGAGCTCTGGATCATCTGGGTCTTCTAGGATCTTCTGTAGCTTAGTCACTGCTGCCTTTTCAACAACCTTCCCTAAAATGGTACTGAGGAGGAGAAGGGAACAGACGGAGGAGGGTAGAGCATTTGGAATAAGCTGGAAGACCAAGTGGTTAGTTTACTTTAGGACCTAGTAGAAAGTCTGCTTGATTCCTGAGAGTATCTGAAAGTACTGAAAGTTGGTGGGGAGAGAGAAATTTTATTCTAAAGCTTGTCTCCTACTTGAGTTAATTGGGGGCTGTGTGGATCTTCAACCTGGGGTGCATCCAAAGTTTTCTTCTGGTAATTCTGAGCGGTTGGGAGGCTAGTAGATTTTAGGCTTAAACTTGCATGTGACATAATGGGGTAGAGTTATGAGGCTGGCAGGATGGACAAGTTGAAGGATTGGGGGTTTAAGTGTTCCCTTCCCTACTTAGAGGGAGACTAGCAGGCTAGAAATGTAACACAGATGTCTGTGGCCTCTGTTATATTAGATGGGAGCCTGGCTTCCTATGCCCTGAAGTATTTGGAAAGGTAACCCTGCAGCTGCCGCTGGAACTGCTACGGCCGCTCTGGTAGCTTACAAACAGGCGCTGGCTTCGGTGCTTGTGAGTCTTCCCGAAAGAGTAACTGATGTCCCACTGGTCTGATGTGTGCTTTAAGTTGGATATAAAAAATACACTTTTTATTCTGGAGCATTTTATTCCCAGCCCAAATCTTTCTGTATTTCCAGCACTACCCTACTGTATGTAGCTGAAACAAAAATAGCATTGCCTGTGCTTGAGATGTGTCTGAAATAGCTGCTGTTTGTTGTCCAGAGCAGCCTCTCTGGTGGGTATTTACTATAAGAGAGCTTGGGAAGAAAATTCAGGGTTATGAGAGGCTCGGATGGTCTGGTCCAGAAGATGGCCTGAGGGTATTTCTTGCTGCCTTTTGAAGGCTCAACAGGACACATGTCTAAATTCCAATTATGCTGCAGGATGACTCCGGTTGAATGGCTGGACTGACTGATTTACATGCCATTCAGTAACAAAGGTTATGGGAACAAATGGTTATGGGAAAAAAAGTATAATTACAGAATTAAAATCTAAAACCACAATTAAAATCTAAAAACCACAAAAAGAAATATTTAACATCAAATATTAGTCGACAATCCATAACGCACTAAATACTTTTAGGATTAAATTATGAGAAAATAGAAAGGTCTTCAGATGATGCCTGGCAAGACATCCCACAGCCAGAATCATTGCCCGGAAGCATACTGCAATTCCTTTGAAGAGACACCCAGAGAAGGGGATTGAAGGTCTGATGGTTGTATTTGGGGGAAATCTGGGGGAAATGTATTTGGGAAAAGACAAGACTTCAGGTGGTCTAAGATAATTACAGGATCAATTACTTCACAGATTAATACCAGCTTCTTAACTGAATCCAAAAATGGGCAGTTTGGGTCAAGGGCTGGCTGTAGTCAGTTCTTGTTATGACCTTACTGCCAGACTTCAGATGAAATTTCAAGAGCATACTTCCAGGATTGAACATTGCAAGAGCTGGCAATATTCTATTGGGTCTGGGCATCTTGGTAGGCCACAGATTAAACATGCACCAGTGCTGTGCTGCAGCTGCTAAAAGAGCCACTGCGGTCTTGGGTACATCCCAGAAGGTGATCCCTGCAGTGGTCAGAGCGCATCTGGAACCCTCTGCCCAGTTCTGGTCACCACAATACAAGAGGGATGCTGCTGGCTGGGGAATCCTGAGAGCTGAAGTCCACGCATCTTAAAATGGCCGAGGCTGAGAAACACTGCTCTGGAGGGTCCCTGGTGGCCAGCAGCTGAAGCCTCCAGATGAGTCAGTGCAGGGTCCAAGAGAGTCCCCGACTACAACCATGGAGACGGTGGGCCGCCTCCTCCAGAAGAAGTGGAAAACCGCTCTGTGGGCAGCTGAACTGCCCCAAAGAC